TAACTGAAACCTTATGCATGTACTTGGCTACAAGTTCACGCATGATTTCAGACCTCTTCAAAGAGCTCATAATTATTAAAATTAATAAATTCAATAATTTCATGTTGTTAAATTCATAACTGATCTTGCTAGTCTAGTTTTAAAGCAGGTAGATGGTTTCCTGACCTCTGCACAGCTCGCACAGTAGTTACCCTTACATAAAAGGTGTCTCTTGCCTTTGGGACCTGAGGCTTTAAGACAAACTCCAAACCCAAAAGATGTGCAATTGCTTTGGTGACAACTAATGTCTGCTTTCATCCTTTCTACAGGTTTTGTTTCTAGATGAGCCAACAGCTGGGCTGGATCCTCTTTCCAGGCACCAAGTGTGGAGCATTCTGAAGGAGCGCAGAGCTGGACGGGTGATCCTCTTCAGCACCCGCTCCATGGACGAGGCCGATATCCTCGCAGGTAAGCAGAGGCTCAGCCAGGAGCATCCCTGCAGCAGGAGGTCTATGTGAGGTTCAGTTGTGAAAAAAGTTTTGAACCACTACTCTATGGGATACATTCCTTTGGCTTTTTCTTTCTTTAGATCGCAAAGCTTTTATCTCGCACGGGAGGCTGAAGTGTGTTGGCTCTTCTCTGTTCTTGAAGAAAAAATGGGGGATTGGCTATCATTTAAGGTATTTACTTCAGCCCCAAAAACTGGTATCTGGGAACACTCATGTGCAAGGAACCACCAGAATGACTGTAACAGGGAGCCCATAGAGCAGAAGTTGTCAAAACAGGAAAACGAAGTGAATTAGTATTCAGTTAAATTAACTGAAACTGCATTTTACTCCAGAGCAAGGAAAGAAGGAACTATGCTGGAGTTTTGTCTTTATGCAGCATAGCAAATACAATGGGGGGTTTGTGTTTTGGTTTGCTTTTGGTGTTGGTTTTTTTGTTTTTTTTTTCAAAACTAACCATCTGGGTTTTTTTCCACTGAACAGGATCCATGCCAGTGATTCTTGTGACTTAGAGAACGTGACATCTCTGGTGAAACGGTACATCCCCAATGTCACATTCTCAGGACACGGTCAAAATGAGCTGAGATATAAACTGCCATTAGAAAACGTGAATAAATTCCCAGGTAGTGTATATTAAAATACTTGAGAACTGTGAGTAGAGAGAAAATAATCACAAATGTGGGGAAAGAGAAATGAAGAGGGAGATTTCTTACAGCAGTCACATGAGGACTTTAGAACTGCTGCATTGTTCCTTCCCCCCCACAATTTTAGCATCCATAGGTTTAAGATCAAAATGTACAACCAATGCTTTTCTATTTTTTGTGATGAAAAACCTATCAGGCTAAGCTGGACCATGTGTTACAAAGAGTTAATTTTTCTTTCTATTAAAAGAGAAGGTAGTGAGAAGAGAAAACTCCATAAACCAGTACCAGCAGTGGCACCAGGCAGACCCTCACTCACCATGTCCGTCACATTCAGTCTGATGATCCCAAAGCCCTCCTGCCTCAGGGGGTGCACGGTCTGAAATGCTGGTGCTAAACAGAAAAACATCTTTCCATGAGCTGTGGATCTGGCAGTTTCGTGTTCCTCCAGCCCCTTGGCATCCTGGCAGCTGGCTGCTTTAGCATTTTCCCTGTGACTGGAGATGCCCCAGTCAGGTTGACTCAGCTTAACCGAAGTCTGGTCTGGAGATGCTCATGTCTGAAACCTTGAAGGCACTTGTATTATCTCTGTCCTGCAGATCTGTTCCGTGGCCTCGACAGCTGCTCCGACCAGGGAGTTATCAGTTACGGAGTCAGCATGACAACCCTGGAGGATGTCTTCCTGAGGCTGGAGGAAGAAACCACAGCGGATCTAGAAGGTACGATCGTGGCTGCAAATACACAATCTGCAGCCTCAGAGAGCAGCTGCTTGGCAATAACCCCTGGGCACGCTTCTAACATTTGATTACTAGGTGGCTCTTAATTTTTCACCCACTAAAACGTAGAAGCTGGTCTTAGACATAAATGTGCAGGTGGAAACCTCTCTGCAGATGAGCACATCCCTGGGGAGGAGTGGACAGGACTGCGATGCCCCCAGGAGCCGGAGCTGGGCTACCTGCTGCTCTCCGACACCGGGAAGGCGACAGTGGATGGCTGGGCTCTCTGGAGGCAGCAGGTCTCTGCCGTGGCATGGGTGCACTTCTTAAAGCTTAAGAGATCAGTGAAAAACCTGCGGTCGATGTAAGTACCAAAGTGATGCTCTCTCGCAGATCTGGAGCTGGTCACAATCACTGCAGGGGGGACGACTTTCACACCCCTCTTTTGACAAACATTTGGACTGATTGATACCAAGTCTTGGCTGTGAATGATCTCGCTGATCTGGACAGATGCTGCCTTTCCAGTGCCAGTAATATAAAATCTCCCTTTTGTGCATTTTTGTTTCTGTGCTGAGTTTACCCAAGGGAAACCCATTTTCCTTCTGAAGAGAAGAATAATTTAGAAACACTTTTCAGGTGGAAGAGGAAATTTTAAAATACAGAGAGGAGGGGAAAATATGACTTCCAGACTTCCTCTTTAATTTTTTTAAACTTCTCTCATGTTGCCGGTGTCTGAACTCATCTGGCCCCATTGGTCTTCTATCTGGCATGTCTCTGGGCACAAGAAACAGAAGGGAGATGCTGATTTATGAAAAGCTTGTATCTTAAGGAAGTCTGAAAGGCGTTTCATGGCCCTAAAAAGTTGAGCACTCCAGATCTGAGGTCTTCTTCCTGCTAAATTTTGAGGGTCTTTGTGAATCATCAAGGCTTGAGACTTCTGAAAATAAAACCGCAAAAAATTTATCACAGAAAAAGCTGAATATAGTATACCATTACCAATAAGCAAATGTGTTCTGCCGAACATCTCTTTTCAGAGTGTTGTTTCATCTCTTTCTTCATGTAGTTTGCTGCTCTATGTGGTTTTTCTGCTTCCTCTGCTTTTGCCACTGTCCCTGGTTGCTGTCTGGAAAAGTTTGAGTGCTTGGGAGCTCTCGTCTGCACAGTACTTCGTGCCCCTGGGGAAGAGGGCTGTCTCGGAGACAACCAGCCTCCTGGTCTACAATAACACGGGTGAGGGGAACAAGCCTTTCCTCCTCCTTTCTTATTCTGGAGTTTCTTGCTGTTGCAAAGGAAAATAAGTGAAAGAGCAGATGGTTGCAGGATGTAGGGGATCTACGGAGTGATGAAGGTTTTTGTGACAGAAGAGCATAAGCACTGTAATTTTTAAAGGGTCGTGAATGAAGCATGCTTTGGCTTCAGCAGCTGGTGAGATGCTGATGCAAAGATGTGAAAAGGGATGTCATAGCAGATGAGATTAGAAGGGACCTAGTTCTTTCCCTGACCCAAATCCAGACTTCTATGCAAACAGTTTCTGCATTTTCACGGTGTGCAGTTCTCCAACCAGGCACCATACTCCCCCGGAAGGGCTCACTAATGCTGTGTCTGGTCTACTTACAGAGTTTTACCTTCAACATTTCTATGAGTGGGTGCTATTTTATGCTATGCGACCAGAGTATGACCCTGTCAGCCTCATCAGACCATCACAAAGGAGAATACATTTTGTAGCTACTCAGTAAACACAGAAGAAAAATGACCATGCAAAAATTCAGTCAATGAGACTCAAATCCATCAACTTCAAAATGAATGTGCAATGATCCACCCCATATGTGCTGTCTGATGTCCACAGCTAATTAGACTTTCTCTGTTTTTGTCTGGTGGTCGTGGATTTTACAAAAACTCAAACCATCAAAGACTCCTGTTGTTGAGTATGATGTTCCTCTGCTTTTGGCTTTCACACCAGGCACAGGCATTGAAGACTTCATCCACATGCTCGAGAGCCAAGATCTCTCAGTGGAAATAACAAGCGAGGAAAATATCACAGAGGAGCTAAAACACAATGGGGCTATAAAAGTATCTCGCAAAGGTCAGGTGAGGATTTTGTTCTCCTCCTACCATTTCTTCCCAACAACTGAATAATTAAGCAAGATGCCTCCATCAGCTCTACCTGTGGAATGGTCCTATCAAATAGGGCCCACAGGTACAAAGATTTGAAAATGTTTTAACCAGTAAACTACATGTTAGAGGAGACCTTATCTCCCTCATCTTCCACCTCAAAATTTAAATTTTTGTAGCACAGCTATACAGGCTTCCAATACCTCATAATTTGTTTTTTAGCAAACAACGCATAAGCAAAACTATTTCAGGATTCTCCTGGTGTGTTCCTTATCTACTGCTTCCCTGCAGATGAGAAAAGCCGAGAGTTTTCATCTTGTTTTCTTGCTCTTTGAAGAGCTACAGGTTTACTGTGTTATGCCACGTGGAGGTCGTCAACTGCTTCCCGGTGCTTGTGAATGTCATTAGCAACGCTCTGCTGAGAGCCCTCAATTCCACCGTGCACATTCGGATCTGGAGTCATCCGTTTTGGTTTGTAAGTGTCAGAGCCTGGCAGCCAGCAGGTGTCAGAAAATAGTTCTTCAATCTGCTTCAGGTCTCAGTAAATCACCAGGTTTTAACGGGAAGCCATGTGGGCGGCTGTCTCTACCTGTGAACCCACCTTCCTCGGTGGTGGTTCTGGAATCGTCATGGTTGACTTCAGGAAAGCTGAAGCTAATTTTTCCACTGTGGGTCTTAAGGGCTGCTGAGCAGAGAGGGTGTCTGGGAGAATCTCTTCAGGGGGTTCCTTTTCCTCTACATCATATTATTCAAGCTGTGACCCACCAATTGACAGAAGAGGAAGCTCACCACAAGTCTGGGATGGAGGAGTGGGACCTGCACCACCACCACCCATCTCTTCTCATCGGTGGGAAGCACTTTGCAGGGCTATGGTTTGGGGAAAACCTTCCTCCTGACAATATTTGGTTTCAAAACCCACTTTGTTCATACTGCCTTGTACTTCATGAGAAATGCCGTAAGATGACATCTAGCCATTACATTGTGGATGTTTTCTACCAACCAACGCTTTGTTCTTCTGTTTTCAGGTGAATGAGACATCATACTGGGATTCTTTTATTTCTATTTACATCCTTTATATGCTGCTGTTACTCCCTGGTTTTTCTCCTCACTTTGCAATGGGCTACATGCAGGATTACAAGGTAAATTCCTGGAAATGGAATAGATTTGGAGTGGGCAGAGGGGATTACAACAGCATTGCAACAAGGACATTTGGATATGCTGGGCAGCTTGGGGTGGTTTTCTCTGTATTGCCTTGAACAACTTTGCAGCCAGCACAGAATGTTAAAAGACAAAAAAAAAAAAAAAAAGGTGGAATTTTACCCCAGTATACCAATGGTAACATGTTTTTATTAACTTTTTATCTCCTGGAGCCATTCCCATGGGTGCAGTTGGCCAACCAGGCACTGACAATAAACTGCCCTTGGCGTTGTGTCTTCGCAGGCAGGAGCTCATGCCCAGCTGCAGATCTCAGAAAAAAACCTCGGCATACTGGTGCGGCCAGGCGCTGGTGGACGTCCCGTTGTGCTGGTTCCTTCTCTTCTCAATGTTCGGGGTTCAGTTCGCCATGAGCAATGAGATTTCTGCGATCGTTGACAGCCTCATCTTGCTGGTACATCCTGTTCTGGTGATCGCTCATTCACTAGGGAGGGGTTGGGGTAATATTTTGAGCACGTGCAGGGAGACACAGCGAGTGCAGATGGTACCGGCACACCTGAGTCCCCAGATCCTTACTCCCCTTCTCCTTGTTTCACCTTCTACCTCTTGGGTTTTCCCAGCTGGAAGTAAAAGGCAGTGAATCTTGCCTTAATATACTCCTTTACCCTTAGCAGTAGAATTGTGGTAATTTCTGAATGCCCTGATCTTAGTGTATAATGGCTTAAGCTGAACCACATCGCTATATATAGGTTTCTGGTTGTTTAGATCACTTCGTTTTCTCCAATAAAAGCCCCCTTTTTTTTCTTTTCTGTAGATCACAGGTATTTTTGGCTATGGAATTTCTATCGTCCTCTTCACCTACTTGATCTCTTTCATCTTTCGCAAAGGGTGGAACTGTGATTTTTGGTCTTTTATCCTGATAGCGGTAAGCATATGGCTGGATAATGTGCTGCAGGGTTTACAGAAATGTATTTTGAGATCTTAAGGATGAATTAGAACTCAAAACACTAAGTATACACGTAGAACATAAATACAGGCATGTGTTTTATAGCAGTCGATTCTATATTAAATTCATATTGCCGTGTTCTGTTCCCACAATCCTGCTCTGCCTCAGGGAAATGCTTAGATCTGCCCTAAACTGGTTCAGGAACGGAGGCAAAAAAGTTATTTATTGCTCTGTTCGACACCTCACATCCAAGAGATGCCAGGTGTTGAGACAGGAGCCATCAGGCAGAGATGGCTGAGGATCCCCTGAACCCTCACTGTTTCTTCTCTTTGTATTTCTTGTCCATTTTTAGCCATTCAACAGAGAACTGAAAAGGTAGACACACACAATTTTTAAAATCAGTGAGGAGCACAGCCCTTCCCATCAGCTAAGTTACCCTCTTGTTTTATTTTTAGGTATGCTTGGTTTCTTTCATCGTTAACAGAGTCCTGGATTCCACGACCAACACTACAGTCCTCCTCTGCGTTCTGTCTTTCTTGATCCCCGTGTACCCGCTGCTGGGTGTAGTAATGATCTGCCAACACGTAAGTGGTGGCACTGGGCGAGGAGAGGCACCCCACCATAAAACACAACCGAGTGTCTTGTGAGCAAAGCCTGGTGGTAACCTCATGCTGCATTCTGGAAAGGCTCCTTAGTTTCCTTTCATGGGTGAGATATTCCAAATAGCCAGAGTGAGTCATTAGATGGCTGTTTCAGGTCAGATCTGATTTTTCCAGCTGTTCATTATGGCCAGGGGCTACTCCTCATGCAGTTGAGTTGTGATGGTAGATTAAGTAAGCACTCTTAATTATTTCCATGCAGAATCAAGCAACTTGGCTTGAACCATCACAAGAGAAAATTTGAAGTCAGCCATCTGACTTTGTATGAAAGCTGAGAGAGAATTACAAATACTCGCAAGGTGCTTTACTCCAGGTCAGCTGAGGGTGGTTGCGGAAAGTCAGCTAGGAATTTAACAAAACCCTCCAGCTACGTGCGAGATCATTCATGAGCCATTAATTACATGAAGTCCAAATAGAAGGGACTCCTCCTCTGCCCTGTCCCACTCACCTCCAGCTCTTTCTGCTGGGACCCCAAAGGCCAGGAGACCAGATGTTTTCCTGTGACAAGCCATTATCCCCAGAAGGAGAGTCTGATTCATGCCCTGAGCACCATGACGTTTTCTTCTATAGGACTGGGACGCCCATAGTCAAACATCTGTATATGTTAATCTGGTTGGTGAATATTTTGGGTAAATCAGAAGCTTTTGCACATTTCCAAAGTGTTTGTAGTTTGCTTTTAACTCTTCCAAAATTAGCCAGCGTTATACTAAAGAGCTACGGGTCTTCACTGTGTTGTTTTTTTTTTTTTTTCTTTTCTTCTAGAATTTTATAGAACGTATTGCTTTCGGTGAGACTCCAAGGAATGATGCACTAATAGCTGTCTTTGCAGTAAGAAAATATTTAAGATTGCTTTTATTTAGCAATGTGTGTCTCCTGAGCCCTGTCCTCAGTTATGAGGAAGCAGGCGAGAACCCTGAGCTCATCTCATGCAGAGGGAGGATCTGGCTGGGTCTGGATGACAGATTACCCCCCGGGCAAAAATAACCTCACTCCTTTGGAATGAGGAAGAGAAAATGAAATAGCCCCAGATCACTTAACGCTGCCCTGTTATTTTATGAATTGTGTTTTTCTTCTACCATCATTGCTTTCTGCAGTGTTGGTAGGTGACAGCAGAGTTCGCAGCCTTCAGGATTACCCTGAGTTTAGATGTTAATGGACTTTATTTTTGCACACTGTGTTTTTCTCCCACATATTTTATAACTCTGCCACCATTTTCTCAGCTTCATCTGGAGTAGGATGGAAGGCAAGGCTGTTAATGAGGCAACCTCTGTTTTTCAGCCTTATATCCATTCTGTGGCTTTCATTTTTCTTCTTCGATATTTGGAGACGAAATATGGAAGAGCAGTTCTGAGAAAGGACCCAGTATTTAGGTTTGTATAAATATACACGCACCACAAGCACCTGCAAGATCTAAATTCCTACCACACTGCTTTTCCTTGAAGATATTTTGATCAGATATCGTTGTCCTTGTATCCCTATTTCTAAGTATTTTTATTTAATACTGCTGATTTTTTAAATAACCCCTTAAATATTACAATGCTATGATAATATAAAACAACTCTCAAGCTTGTTAGTACCTCCACATAGTGTTGCCTGTGCTGTGTGGATGTACCAGACTGGCTCTTTGTACAACACAAAGATTATAAATACAAAAAAAGTAATAATAAATATTTTAAAACCCACAAGAAACGTTGAACCAGAGGGACATTCACTCTCAACCTACCCGGAACTGGTGGAGAACAAGGGTAAAGAACAAAATGCTGAGACGGATCTTGTGGCTTTTTAGGATTTCCCCAAGAAGAGAGAGCAGCCACCAGCACCCTGAGGAGCTCGAGGAGGAAGATGAAGATGTTAAAGCTGAAAGAGCAGCAGTGAGAAGTGCCATAGTGGCTCCGGGCCAGGAGGAGGTACGGCTGAGTGTTATCCTTCGTGTTTTATTTCATACCAGTAGGAAGCCCCCTGGTAAAAACCAAACCACCAAGTATCCATCAGTGCAAGTCAGTGCTCTGGCTGTATTATTCTCACCGGGAAAATCAAACTCTCAGATGTACAGTGTGGGTCACATCAGGATAGAGAGGAAATCTGTCAAATGGGATGTGGACAATAAACTGTCCTGCGGTAGCTCATATTCTCAGTGAACTATAAAACAAATTCAAAGATCTTTAGAAGGTTTTCTACCTTTTTTAATGGAAAAATATTACTGAAGGATTAATGCTATCCAATATAATAGACTAATCGTTCTTTTTCCTCCTCGCTTTCAGAAATCAGTCATTATTGTCAGCAATCTGTGCAAGGAATATAAAATAAAACAAGCTGGTTCATTTTTTAAGAAGAAGAAGAAGATGGCCATCAGAAATGTTTCCTTCTGTGTTAAAAAAGGTGAGGACTGGAACTGTTCTCCTAGACCTGTTTTGGACCCCTGATCACACCCGGAGAGCTCATTCTCTGCAGATTCTCCGTTATCTGAGCAAGGACGTAAAGGTCAAACCTATTCATCCTGTGGTTAAGGCATGTTCAGTCTGGGGCTGATGTGTTAATGAACGATGTGATGTGGAGGTACCCTGTTAGTTACTTTTGATTCTCCGTTATCTAAAATAACGCAGCTCCCCCGCTCTCCAGGATCCACTTCACTAGTGGCTTTGAGAGCCCTGGGAGCAATGCTCGGACTCGCAGCATCAGTTAGAGTTGAAGTATTATGGGCTCTCAGAGCATGCACTTATACTCTTTACTTTTATAGGATCTTTGATATGAGCATGCTCCCTTCTATATTTTTTCTTTTGTGGGACTGTGCCTGATATATTTGTTGAAAGGGGAGTATTGCTAAGAAATTTTATGTATTGATTCCAGGGGAAGTATTAGGACTCCTGGGGCCCAACGGAGCTGGTAAAAGCACAGCCATCAAAATGATTACTGGAGAGACGACCCTGACTGGTGGGCAGGTAGGAGGCATCTGGAGAAAAGGGATAGATCCACGATAAAAATGCAAGCGCAAGCCTTGTACCTAGGCTAAGCTATGATTTTTTCAAAGCATTATTAGGGATCAAAGTTTTAACTGAATGCATTGTGCTATTAAATTAAAAAATGTATTCATAAAAAATATTGTGAGCTACCTCTAGCTTTGACAAGCCGTGGCAACTACCCTAACTGGCCATGTTTATATTCAGAAGCTCTGTAAATGGGGGTTGTGAAATCGCTCCCTTGCTCTTCATGTTTCCTCGCCTAAATCCCCATGAAGCCCATAGTCTTCTTCTGAGCCAAACCCTTGTAACCTGGTCAAGGCTACGTGAGAGTAAAATGACCAGCCTGGTTGTGCAGGTGCTGATGAAGAGGGGAGATGGAGCAACCTCCCACCTCCAGGACCCCGCGCCCGCCTTCCTGGGGTACTGCCCCCAGAAGGACCCGCTCTGGCCGGACCTCACCGTGCACGAGCACCTGTGGGTCTATGCAGCCATGAAGGGGGTGTGCAAGGAGGACACGGCGGCTGCTGTCAACCGGTACGGATGGAGGGGTTTCCAGGGGTTGGTCAATGTTTTATCCCCAAGCCCTAGGGCATGGGGAGGGGACCAGAAAGTTAAAATTCACTGTGAGCCAGAAGTAACCTTGAAAAAACTCAGGAAATGGAGCTGCAAAAGTGATTTTGTGCTAAATGTTGTGATTGAGTGAGTGGGTTAAGAAAAATCTCCAATTTGCCTAAGTGCATTTAATGGGGATAAATTTACCACTAATGTCCTTTTAAGTATGTTATCTTTAGGAAGCATTTCTAAAATCTCTGATGTTATAGTTTGGCACTACAAGAAAGGGTGCTCAAGTACTGCCTGCTCAGCTGACGCTGGCAGGGTGGATTTAAAATGTTATTGACACTAATGGTGGCTTTAGAAAAGAGCTTGTGGCTTACTCAATACACTTTGCTTCAAATATTCACTTACATTTTAATAACACAATAAATGTTTCATGAAAACAAGCAGGAGTCAAGAGCAAGGGGAAGAGAGGTCTTTTTTCTTCCCATTTTTGGAATACTTGATGAGAATATTGAGTCGGCAGTAATAAAAATGTTCTTTTTTTGCTTGTTCCCTTTCCCCACAGAGTAGTGAATGCTCTGCAGCTTCAAGACTATTTGAAGGAAAAAACCAGAAAGTTGTCAGCTGGGATAAGCAGGAAGGTGTGTTTTGTTTTACCTGTAATGAGGACTGTAATGCTCATAGCACAAATTAAAAATCCTCTTCGTGAGCGGAGGGACCTACCTGTCCACCCAGGAGAGCATCTTGTTGTCTCCCATGGTGGGATGATGGAAATCGGCCTTTTCCGAAACCACATTTCCTATAAATCAGAACCTTGATTCCCATAAAGGAAGCGACGCTGTCCGCAGCTCTTTGCATACAGAATGTCAGGGACTGTGAAAGATCTGACCCAATCCCCTTTCCCTGCCGCAGCTGTGCTTCGCCATGTGCATGCTGGGGAGCCCCGCGGTCCTGCTCCTGGACGAGCCGTCGACTGGCCTGGACCCCAACGGGCAGCACTGTGTCTGGTGAGTAGGACCTTGGTCATTGTGCTGCCATGGTGGTAGAGGGGTTGGAAGCCAAGAGTAGATGCCTCAGGTTAGGTGAAGAGTGTTTTACCTCATCTGTGGTTAGTGCTGCTCATCACGTGCCAGTGGTTTTATGGGAAATTCCATTTTCCTGGTTTTCTCCAGCTAAAGCGTGTGCAAGGAGAGAGGAAAACCATTTTACCTTCAACCTTGTAGCAAACTTTAGGACAGTGATATATGGGATTTGGGAAAATTCATAAAGGGACCCGAGTCAGAATTTTTTTTTTTACATTATTTCAAAGTATTACCATGTGCGCATCAGTTTGAAGTTGCTGGATGTGAAGTCTTTACATTTGTTTTAGGGGAAAGGCATTGGAGAGAGAGGGACAAAGAGATAAGAAAAATTGTCTGATATTCCCAGGTAGTGTTAGCTTTTTTCCCCATCTGATCTTCAGGAAAATGATTCGTGCTGCCCTGAAATCCAAGGAGAGAGGAGCCATCCTGACAACGCACTACATGGAGGAGGCGGAGGCGATGTGCGACCGCGTGGCCATCCTGGTGTCTGGGCAGCTACGGTGGGCGGCAGTGCGGGCACACAGCTGAGCTGGGACACGGTCCATGCAGCCACGGGGGCTTCTCCTCCAGCCTCACCTGCCTGAGCCCATCACCATGGACTTTAGGGAGCGCTGCCCGTGATCTCACCAGCAGCACAATATGGGAAGGAGCAGATGGTGGGGCACCGATGGTTTCACACTGATATCTCTTTTTCCTTCCTCTCCTGCAGATGCATTGGCTCCATTCAGTACCTGAAGGACAAGTTTGGCAAAGGCTATCTGCTGGAAATTAAGGTCAAGGATCCAGAGCGCACTGATCTTCTTCACGCTGAGATTTTGAGGATTTTCCCAAGTGCAGCCCGTCAGGAGCGGTAACTATAAAATACAGGATGAATGGTGGCTTCAACACCACCTCATCCCTAAAAATGTGCCCAATGTGATGGCCAGGATCTCAGTTGGAGAGGGATAACAGCCCAGAGTCCCTCTATAGGGATCTGATTGGATAATGTCACCACATCCAACCCTGCTGTTGGATCCAACCCAAGCCCATACATCCAGTTCATAGCGTGACATAAAGTTTTGATCCCAGAACCTCAATACAGAGCAAGAATCACCTTTTCTTCTTTTTCCTCAAGGTTCCGCTCATTGCTAGTCTACAAGGTCCCAATGGAAGATGCATTGCCCCTGTCTCAGTCTTTCTCCAAGCTAGAGGACGGTAAGAGCAAAACAAGATGACCTTCTGAAAAGGTGGAATGCAGACTGCTAATTTTTGATTCTCCATTTCTCCACAGCCAAACGAAACTTCAGCCTCGAGGAGTACAGCTTCTCTTTGAATACTCTGTCTCAGGCAGGTGATTTCAAGGCTAGACGTGCTGTAAAGGCGTGAGCAGGGACAGAAGCTGCAGCAAGACCTGGGCCACTGCAGTGGCAGAGGCTGCTCCACCAAAAATCTGCCGGGGGGCGGTGGGCAAGGGGTTCTCTACTGGGAAAGTGGTTAAAAATTTTTTTTTTTTTTTCTCACTGCTGGGATTTAGCATGGTGGGAACAAGCCAAGGCAAGGTGTTGCTGCCTGGCTCCACTCACCCGAGACAGGCACATCCAAGGGATGGGCGCTCTTGGGAGATGCTGGTACCCAGTGTCTGTGGTTGCTCCTGAAGCAGCAGGTTATTGTTGCTTGGACGAGGCTGGTGGCAAAGATGAGGAATGTTTATGTCAATCCATTGGTGGGTAAAACCAAGGGATACACCTATGGGCAGCCAGTGCCTCTCAGCAGGTTGTGCCAGAGGGCACAGGACTCTCAGCTACTGCATGTGTGACCTACATAAAGCTACTTCACACACCTCTCATAGGGGTTTCAGAGCTGTGCCTCCTGTAAAGGAGCTCCACAGTGCCTAGTGAAAGTCAGAGAAATAATCAGAGTTTTGTCTTGTCCGTTTCAGGTGGTTTTGGAACTCTCCCAAGAGCAGGAAAATGATAATTTTGATCTGACTTTGGATGGGACTTTGGAATGGAAACAACTCCAGCAGGAGGACTGGTAAAGATCCAAGATGCTCATTTACTCATGACTCAGTATTAACCTAACTGATGTGATGCTGCACGTATTTCCTGCTGTTACCAACATACCACGAAGAGGAGGAAGAGCTCTGCCTTTCTGGTGAGCGTCAGCTGAGGGCTCCTCTCTGCTGCAGAAGACATTTCACCTGGACTCTGCAGGCGTCTACGCTGAGCTCTACCCCACGTTGCATTTCCAGTGGCTGGTGGATGAATTATTGCCCACACTGGTGAGAGCTCTTGTCAAGCAGAGTGGCGTGCAGCAGAGGGACTGCAAGGTTTGCAGAAAGAAGGGTCATAACCCATCTCTGGGGATCAAGGCTCTGCTTTGCCCAGTGGATCTGGGAGCATCAGGGACTCTGGACATGCTGCCAACCTTCTGGGCTCCTCTCCCACCCGTGTGTCAGACTATTTGCCTACGACGTGTTTAAATACATCCTATTGAAATTTGCACTCTATTTTATACCCTTCCAATAAATGTCTCTACAGAAACCACGGTTACACTCTCATATGTCGTCATTGCTGTGGACCATCAGGAACAGCTGAGCAGCTGAAACCCCATCCCCAGGGGATGGAGGTGGCTGCAGAGGGCCCAGGGCTGCTGGCCAGGCGGTTGTAGTCCCTCGTGTTGACTATTTCCAGCAGTCTGGCTGAGTGAGCACACTCATCCTGACAGCTCCAGCACCTTATCCCTGTGCCCAGCATATTTGCAAAGGTTAAAACTCTCACAGCAAATATTAACTCCAATTCCCTGTCTATAATCTGCAGCGGTGACTGTGTCGCAATCGCCGCTTCTGTACATTCCCCACTCGGCTTCAAAACATATTTTGGCAGTTGGAGGGGACATATTTGTAGAGATCATGACTATTTCCTTCCTGGTTGCACAACAGCTCAGTTTGTACTCCCCACCCCTGGGGAATGGGTAAGTGAAACCACTGAACATTTCGGTCACCTGTCCGTGCACTGGGCTCTGGGCAATGGGAACTCGGTCAAAGGGAAGGGTTTTATTTAGTGCCCTGGGGATATCGGCAGAGGTGGAGAGCTCCAGCCGTGAGGTTTCTGGTATAACAACAGTTTAAATGATCCATTCCTGTTAGGTTTTTCTCATCAGCTTTTCGTGGTTTGCGCCTTGGGAGATGCTGCTGGTGAGAGGGGCCCTCTGCTGTGGTGGGTACTGGTTTGAGTGGACCCGTAAAATACGCTGGCTTCCCTCTATCAGCCCTCCGTACCTCTGCTCCCCCAGACAGACCCTCGCTTCTTTAACCGGGAAATCTCTTTTCTGCTGCACAGCATGAGGGGACCGGGTCCTTTGGAGTTCTTTGAGTGATGTAAAGACACAAACAGTAACTAAAGCTGCAGCAAACGAATCCTGTCCCAGAGAGAGCATCTCTGGGAGCTGGGGAGAGGCAGAGGAGTGCGCTGGGATAGTGGAAAGACAAGAAAGCAGAGAGCAGGACTGAGGGGTGAAACCTTGTGGCAATTACATTTCCTCCTCTGGGGTGAAGAGCATCTCCTGCCTTGGTTGTTCCTTCCAACGCCACTTGCTCAGTTGTTTCTCCTACGTAACTACCACCAGCCCACTTCATCCTCTGCTACTGCAGGCTTCTCAGATTATTCTCCACGATATTTGGGGATTTCCATTGCAGGGGAACATGGAGCAAGCAGAGCTGGCTCCATCATCTTCTGCACAAGGAGGAGAAGGAAAAAGACCCCCAGAGAGTCCCCAAAGGCGAGCTGGTTGGAGCGGGGGCATTGCATCAGCCTGGAGGGAAGGGGGACAGGGCTCGTGGCATTGCCACCGCACAGCTGAGATGTCCAGGTCCTGGCCCATGGCCAGTGCTTGGAGAAAGGGGTTCTGTCACCAGCACAAAGTGGAGCTCAGCTGGCAAGAGGGAACGAACAAAAGTTCTCAAAAAGTTCAAGAGGACTGAGCTTTTCCTTTGGAGGAGGGGAAAAAAAAAAAAAAAGAAAAAAAAAAAAGAACAAGAGAGATTTAGTGGAAATGGACTGGCTTCTTAAATATTCCCTTCAGAGGTCACCTTTGCCTCCCTCCTTTCAGCTGCCTGAGCTGAAGGGCTGCAGGGTAAAGCCATCCCCCAGCAGCTGCGGTCGCTGTACCTGCTCTTTGAGCGCAGGGGCTGGCAGCAGCCTGGTGGGAAGCACCCTTCTCCAGCTTGCAGACCAGCTCCAGAACTGGCCAGACATTTTGGTTATTCTCCTTGTTTCCCAGCCCAGCACAAGCCCTCCATGGACAAGGTGTCTTTGCTGATAACCCTGAACCAGAGCATGCTGGCCGTGCTGCAGGACGCGTCCATCCTCCGGCAGAAAGAGGGTGAAGCTGCGAACGCTGCACATTCCCCATAGTAACTCATGTAATAACTTTGTCTTATTAACAGGGAGATTCTTATTTATCAGATTTAATAATGCCCTCTTTATGCAGCAAAGCGACAAAGCGCACAAAGGGCCATTCACCGCCAGCCGCCTCCAGTGCCGCTCCTCAAGCATCGTGCCCCACACGAGCATCCCAGAGTGAGAGCAGAGAGCAGCCCATGTCCTTCAGATTAGGGAGAAAAGCGGTGCCAGATGGCGGTTTTTGAGTGCTGGGGACCAGGGGAGCAGGGCACATGTGTGCTCAAGGTTTGGGAGCTCAGGGACAGCATTTTGCCGTGGGAGGTTTTGGGGGGCAAAAGGGGTATTTGAAAAATGTCTGGAGAGGAATGGCAGGGATTTCCAGGTCTCATCCTCTCGCAGCTGTGACAGGGATATGAACGTTGTCTGATTCAAATGCCAGTTAAGCAACTCCCCTTAAGTGCAATTAAGCAACAATAAAGAGTGATATTTCTGAGAATTTCAAGGAACTTCACAAAAAGTGGTGATTCAAGTTTCAAAATAGCTATGAGATGAACTTCTGCAGAGGAGGAGGGCAAAGCTGAGCCACGTTAAGCGAAGGGCTGGTGTCCTGCAGGAAGCCCGTAGCAGGGCTGCCTGTGATGGTCTATAAGATGGTATCCTGCCTGCAGACAGCCCGCAAGGTGAAAGTCATGTACCCCAGCCCTGTGCACCTCCTCGCAGCCCCTCCTGCACCCCCCCTTCCCAGCAGCAGTGCCATGCCCATGTGTACTTTCTCCTGGGCAGGGACCTCCAGATCTGGTAGCTCAACTGAACAACATCCATCCTTTGTTCAGAGCAACCCAGGGAAAAAATGAAACAAAACAAAAAACCAAACAGGAGACAGGACCAGCATCAAACAAAGTTATTTGTGGCTGCGCTGGAAGAAAAGGCACCATGAAATGCAATCTCCCGTGCCATGAGGGCAGAGAGCATCTTCAGCCAGGCAGACCCTCAAGAGGCACAACCCATTCCCATGCAGCACATCTGGCCAGATGTGGCTGTCCCAGAGCAGAGCCAGATGTTCTGCAAGCAGAAGAGATGAGGAGAGGCAGATGTTGGCAACCTCAACAGCACTGGAGTCCAACTCTCTTTTTCCATTCACTTGAGATAGAAGAGGAAAACCAGGGTTGGATTACACATCGGCATGTGAACTGTGAGCAGCGTGTATTGGGTCCTCAGCTATAGTGTACGCTCTCCGGTTTGCAGCATGTGAGTACCAGGATGTTGTAACAAGCATCTCCCACAGTATTTATTTTTTAAGGCATTCTGGCTTGGATTACTGCGCACATGAAAGCTGAGAAGATTTTTCTCTTGCATTGGTTCTTCTTAATTCTACTCAGCACCTCAAAACCCTTTTGAGACTCTCGGCTCAAAATATTCTCCAGTCCTTTAGCAGCAGTTGGATAAAATATCACTTAGGAGACTATGTGTGGCTGCAAGAGGAGCCGAGCCCAACAAAATATTTACTTCAAAGCAGGCAGAGGGATGGCCTGTCCAGCTGGAAAAAATGTTTTTTAAAAGAGTGGAAGAGAAGGAGAGAGAGGGAGATGGTTGTGTAAGTCATGATGTTTCGATTAGGTCATGCCTGAATGATAACAGAAGTTCATGAACTTATGTTCTAGGCAAAATGGAGGTGTCTGGTTTGTCCCTGTGCATCTCCATCCTGGTGCAGACATCAGATGGTGTGTTATGGACAGGTAAGGAAGGGCATGGGCTGTGCAGCAGCTGAGCTGGAAACACACCCATGTGTCTGTGGTCACGGTGGCCACCACTGGCATGGGGACTGAATATGTCCCTTCTGCTGGGTCTTATGCTTTTCTGAATGAGTTTTGGCTGTTTTAAAATACCAGAAATCATCTAGTCCAGTAACTAACGTTCCTGGAGAGGTCTTGGGTTGAGCCAGAGGTGGTTGATGGATGTCAGTGGGAGCCCAGATGCCAAAGGCAAATCCTTCCCGTGGGTTTGGTCCTTCTGTGTCACTGTGGCAGTAAAACATCAGGGTCTTGCTGGAAGAATTGTTACTACCTCCAACCCCCGTGTCTCTCCCAGGCAAATGGGTGCAGCTCTAGGAACCTTTAATGCCTGTAAATAACCAGCTCTGTTGGAGGTGGCCACACCAGCCTGACCCTCTTTGCAAGTCCTCTGGCTCCATGTCCTACAGCTGTGAGAGCCAGGAGCCAGCCCAGCCACGAGCTGCTCCAACCACAAAACCCACCAAGGTGACCTGAGACCATCTTCCTGCTCATCCAGGCATGTGAACAAAGCTGGTTTTGCCCACCATCACCTGCCCCAGATCCCAGGGGGATCTCAGCCTCCAACAACCCCACACCAGGTGCTGCAGGTCTCCGAGGAGGTAATGGATAGTGGCTGGAGCACTGCTGTGAAGAGAGGTTAGTACTGGCAGGATTGAGCCTTAAATGGGCTTTTCTCAGGTTTCTTCAGATTATTTAAGTACTGTGTCCACAGATGGACTAGGGGGCAAGGTCTGCACTGGGCTACTGGGAATATTCCCTATGTTCCCAGTCCCAGCAAACATTTATTGTCTGACTTTGCAGCAAGTGCCCTAGGATGTGAGGAGGATTTGGGGCAGTGCTCAGCCTCACCTTAGCAGCTGAGGACATCCACTGCTGGCACTGGCCACAGCTTCCGCCACCCACGCACCTTGGTTTTCTTTGGCCTCGTTGTGAGAAATTCATTTCATGTTCTAAATGCAAATCCTCTAAAGGGTTTTCAGGATGCTAAGGAGGAATTTAGAAAGAACAACAAAAAGAACAAAAAAGAAACAGGAACTTTTT